ACACCCCCCCCCCCCCCCCCCCCCCCCCCCAAAAAAAAGAGTTTTCAGCTGAAGGTTACCTGTAATATTATACTTGTCTTTCAGTATTGAACGCACACAGGTATTGGATGCCTGTGTCCATTGCCCCATGCTATGTGGTCCCACCTTTCGACTCTTGTATCATTACAGGAGGGTTGGAGGATGGAGCCAAACCACTGCGGGTGGACTGGAAGTTTGTCTCTCAGACACTCCCAGAAGTGTCAGATTTTGGCTGAATTGGCGGGGCACTCAAAAAGCTGCAGCAGACAGCTCTCCTATAATGACATCTAGCAGAACAGGGGTGGGCAAACTCCTGCCCTTCAGCTGTGGTGAAACTAGAAATCTCTTCATGCATCTGTCTCTCAGAGTTATGCCTGTAACTGAGATTCTTATAACGCCTCATGTGATTTGTAGTTCCACAACAGCTGGGGCTTGCCATCCTAGGATGAGGACAGAAGGTGGGCAACAAGTTAACCTGTGACCAGACTATGCACACTTAAGTATTTATATGTTTTGAGCCTTCTGCTTTCTTGGAAGCTCACGTTCCTACGCGCTGTAAAACGCTCACCATGTGAAAACCAATAATTGCTTATGGGCATGGTTCCCACCTGGGCGTATTTCAGCACGTAGGAACGCGCTGAAAAACGCCCTACGCCCAAAGAAGTACAGGAGCTTCTTTGGGGCGTATTTTCCGCAAATCGCGTCAAAGGCGCATATTCCGTACGCCCAGGTGTGAACCCAGCCTAAGTGATGTCTCTTGAGCCAAACAACATCTTCCTTTAAGTGGTTTTCAGCAGTCCCTCAATTGCTGGTATAAATGGCGGGGGGGGAAAAAAAGTGTATAGATAACCAATTTTTTGGTGGATAGAGTGTAAAAGGGTTAAACCTCACATTAGGTTGTGTTTGCTCTGTGCTCTGCTGGGGAGATTCCCCTTCATTTCCAGTCTTGAAGATGCAACAGGAAGTGAAAGGCAATCTAGCCAAAATGCAGGAAATCCCTAAATTAGACAGTTGGCACCAGAACATGAGTCCCCATTTAAATATTTTCCCCTCAGCTCTCATGAAAACTCCAAAATGTATGATTTCCACACACTTTGTCTCTAACAATTGACACCAGGACAAAGAGAGAGGGGTGAATTTCTAAAATGTATTGATTGATAAAATATGCATTTCATCAGCAAACACACCTAAAGAAGAACTTTACCCATGTATTTAAAAAAGAAAAGAAACAGCCAAGACACCTTTAGAAATGTTACAATCTACACACACATACTTCTAGATAATTGCTGTTTTTGTATTCTTTGCACACCTTATTTATCTTTTCTTACCCAGTCTTCTCACAGTAGCCATTTTTACTGAGGGCAGATTAATATATCTCCTTTTACTTCCTGGAACTCTGGCACATGTGACCAGGGCATGTGACCATGCACATCTCAGGAGAGGAAAATGCCTTTCCCTGAGATCTCATGAGATTACAGATGAGATGTCCAGGAATGCTCTGCTGATGTAACCTTCGCAGTATGCAAAGCTTGGGCACATTACATCATTTGTGCCAAAGTGGACTAGGAAGTGGATGAACTCTATTTGTAAGTAAATGAAAAACATGTTTGTTTAATGCATGTAATATGATTTTATATCAGCATGCAGAGCTGCATGCAGATGTGATTTTAAGTGAAAGAGGGTAAAGGTCCACTTTAAGTGTGGAGCCATCTTTTGTCAGGCACCAACCAGTGTCTGCATCTACTTTGTGGACTAAAATCCATAACCTATGAAGAATTTAATTCCGGTTGCCTGAACAGTAGCCATCACATTCTGGGCTGTAAGGAGTCCAACACAGATCAGTTCTCCGGGCAGACTGGAGCTTAAAGTGACATTAAACCCTCAGATTTTTTTTAAACATAAACCAATACTGTAATGTGTGCCTTACTGTAATCCATGGTTGTTTCCCTTCTCTTTGCTGCTCTTCCTTTTAAATCTGTATCTGTATCTGTTCTCATGCTTGGGGAGAACTTCCCTTTGCAGCTGGGTGCCTCTTCCTGTAGTGCTGGCTCAGGTTACAGCCTATAGAAACGTATACACAGGCACCATGTATCCATTCCAGAGACAAGGCAGTCTGCTGCAAAACAGAAGTTCTGCCCAGCATGAGAACAGATACAGATTTAAAAGGAAGAGCAGCAAAGAGAAGGGAAACAACCATGGATTACAGTAAGGCACACATTACAGTATTGTTTTATGTTAAAAAATCTGAGGGTTTAAAAGGAGAACTATGGGGTCAGGGCTTTTCCCCATAGTTCTCCTTAGGGTAACGGGAGGACACAAACTTGCGTCCTCCCGTTACCCTAAGCTAAGAATACCGCGAGCTACAGGTCGCGGTATACTGAGACGCTGGAGCGGATCCCGACATCGATGTCGAGATCTGCCCAGCTGCGTGAGTGACAGCTAGAGGCAGTGACAGCTAGAGGCAGAGCCAGCTGTACCCGCCCCCTCCCCGTCCGTCCCGCCAGTCAGCCCTGAATGTATGTTAGATTATTGATTTTTGTTATAAGCTTCATGGTA